CCAGTGTGCCACTTTTCCCTTTTTTTTGGATCTGGGGCACCAGGAAAGAGCCATCCCAGCAGCAGGAGCCGCGTCCATCCTCGTGGAGAGGGGCCCTGGGCAGCCCAGCTCTGGCACAGCAGGCACGGCCATTTCCCCACTCAGTGACTTCAAAATCCTGTGATTTGTTTGGTTTCTGTGCATCCAGCCTGGACTATGTTTCCAAAAAAAAAGTAATTAAAAAATAGAAAGGATTGTGGCTGTTGTGGTTATTTAAGACCTGGGCACGGACACGTCCCTGGGAAAGCAGGGAAGAGGCTGATGCTGCACAGCAAAGCTTTTCCACCCCATTTGTGTCACTTGACATCAGCTCCAAGGATCTACTTGGAGATGTTTTGGATTGAACTTTGGATCCTCACAGCCCAGTGGGATCTTCTCATCATAGTCCTGGAGATACTAAAGACACAGAGAAGCCACTGCCTCTCCATGAAAAACAGCTCCAGTACGATCAACCTGCTTGGGAAGGAGAGTATTTAAGGGGCTGGTGGCTTTTATTTCCCGTTGTCCTTCTTGTCTGGGCAAAGGGAGGCAAAGTACTCTTGGTGTGGAGGCAGGACAGGGCTCAAAGCTGGTCTCCAGGACTTGGAGATCACAACCAAGAATCACCTCAGAGACACCACATACGGGATTGGGGAAGGGAACAAGGGGAGAACTGTTCCTGGGGACTGGCACAAGGGAGGATCTGTGCTCCACGGAATAGGACAAAGAAGGATCTGTGTTCCAAGGGAATGGGACAAAGAGGGATCTGTGCTCCAGGGGAACGGGACAAGGGAGGTTCCATGTTCCAGGGCAGCTCCACACAGCCCAGCAGCACCAATTTGGTGGCGTTTGACAGCAAATCCTGGACTTTGCTTGGAGGTGGGAGAAGCCACACCCGAGGCAGAGTCCTGGGTGTGACCAGCCAGCCCTGGACACTCAACAGGGAGGTTTACACGGAGATAAACCCCAACCTGAGGGGAGCTCTGGTGGCAGCAGGGTCCGTTTTGATCCCCATCCCTCTTTCCTCCCTGCAGGCCCCACTCCCATGGGAAGCCCAGCCGTTCCTCCAGCACCTGGCATTGATTTCACAAGCTGCTGGACACACTGAGGAGGTCACAGTTACACGTGGGCACAGTTTATTCTCTGGATGCACTCGCGCATTGTTTCTGCTCAACAGCCAAAGCTTTATTGATTCCAAACCATCCCCCTTCTCCCCCACCCCCAGCACGCCTGCTTTTGAACTATGTACCCCCTTTTCCCACCTCTCAACCACTCTGCTGCTTCCACTTGGAGTATTAGCTCTGCTTGGAGTCTGTTTGCTCAGAAGAAGCCAACTGACAATTCATTCAGATTCTTTTTTTTTTTTCTCCCAAGAACCATATAAATTACATGCAAAACATTGTACATAGAGATTAATATCAAAATGCAATACAGATCAGGTGCACTTTAAGCTGGACTGTAGGATATGGCAAACACACCAGGGTACATATTGCTTTGAAACCACCATTTTTTTTTGTTGTTGTTGTTTAATTTCATGCATACCACATAATATTCAGTCTTTTGTTTTGTATTTTATTTTTTTCTCCCGTTTTTATACAAAAATACCAGTGCTTATTATACTTAGTTACTGGAAAAGAAAAACTCGGCTCTGCGTGCCCTCTTCAAAGGAAAGTTTTGTTGTGAGAGCGCGGGATAAATATATATACACACACATAAATGTTGATTTCATACTGTATATATATATATTTATTGAAGGGGAGGAAATAAACTAAAGGCAGTTTTAGCCATGGGCTTTGCTGGATGAAAATCGGGGCCTTTGGTGAGTGGGAGGAGAGCAGAGCTCAGCAGGGGGGGATGCTGGAAGAGGAAGAACCAGGGGCTAAAACCCACCTGGTTGGGTGGTTCTGTCTGGGGCAGGTCCAGGAGAGAGGTATCCCCACATCCCTGTGCTCCAAGGGGAGAGCTGGGAGTGCAGGGGGGGTGTTTTAGGGATCCACATCCATGAGCTCGTAGGAGCAGGACAGAGCAGGACACGATGCAGCTACAGGTGCCCTCCCACAAAAGCTTCCAGGGACTTTGGTGTGGTCCCTGCAGCTGTGGACAGCAGCAGGACTCGGCCATGGCACCTTGGAGATGCCCTCCCTGGATTTGGGATGGGGTTTTTCCAGTCACTCCCATCGTGCCCCACCCCAGCAGCTGGGGCTGAGCACTCCGGGCCATCGACTCCTCGTGGGGTGGGGGAAAAGCCAAAGGCCGCCCATGCTAAAATTTGGTTTAGTTTTTTTCCTTCTTGAGATTGTTTCCGAAATTTCCCTCGAAGCTTATTGCACGAAACCTTTGAAAACGAAGTTAAAAACCTCCCCTGTGCAAACCAGAAAGGAAACCTCAGCACAGAACGCAAACGCCTCAGAAGCTGCCTGGTCAGCAACGCACACAAAGGGCGTGGTGGGATGTCTTTGGTACCAATCCGCCAATTTATTCCACAGAAAAAAAAAAAATCCACCACCAGAGACCCTCCTGGGATCAAGAACTGGATGCAAAATTATGTTCAGAGTGTTTTAATAACAAAGCATTCCAAGGCAAGTTAACACGGATCACAGGGTATGACTTCGGTTCCTGTCGGGCACTGTCCCCGTGCGCACTCGTGGCAGTTCAAACAAAGCAAAAAAAAAAAATTAATAATAATATATATATATATATTTATATATATCTCCCCCTAGTCAAGGCATGTTGCAGAGAGTCCCCAAAAGTTCGTGCCGCCGACCATGCCTTTTGGAGCACCAATCTCCCCCAAATCTTTTGTAATGTCCTCAATAACTTAAGCCAAGAGTCAGCTGCTGCCAGTATATCACTGAAACTAAAAAAAAAAAAAAACAAACAAAAAAAATAAACCCCCAAATACTTTACAGGAAATTTGCACGCACAAGAAACGCTTATACTTGAAGCAACCAGCCATACCAACATAATTTATATATATATATATATATAAAAAAACCCCATTTGTGTCACCCAACTAACGTCTAGTAGAAAGATGGCTGCTCAGAGAAAAGGAAGCTGACTGGCATCCGATGGCTGAATTAATTAATCCACGGAATTAATTACCTGTCCCTTGGACCTGCCGTCACACAGTCGCGCCGGGACTCAAGATTTATTTATTTACTTCTCTTTAAACAAAATACATATGGCTGACGTAAAAATATCAGTTTCTGATCTAAAGAAAACTAGATTATTTTTTTTTTTTGCATAATATTTATATATAATTATTTCTCCCCCTCCTAAATATGGAAAACTAGAACGACAAAAATAGAGCAACTAAAGAACGACCAGACCCTTGTGGCAACCTGCCAGTCACAGATTTCTGGGAGTGACTTTGAGAGCCTCCAAACTTGGCTTTTGGTTGGTTGAAGTCTTTTTTTTTTTTATTTATTTTTTAAACAGGTCTGAGGTATTAAAAAAATATCAAAAGAAAAAAAAAAA